CTTTCCCTTTTGCTCTCTCTCTGTCTTTGTCTGTCTTTCATGCGCCCCTCGATGAAAGAGTAGGGCTTAATCAGTTAGTCGATAAGAAAATTGGCTTAAAGTCATCGGTCACTCGATAGACTCAACAGAACCAAAGCCCGAGCCGTTCGACGACCACTTCACTCGCCAGCAGCACAAGGCGATCAGCTTTACCTATCACCACGCATATTCATAGTAATGCGCTTCGTTCAACGCTGGTACACTCGTATTGGTGCGATGAGGCTCAAGTAGCCTACAAAGTCAATTTGACGATCGAAGAGGGAAAGTGTCACCATTGCACGTCAAGTCCATGAAGTCGATCTGAGCGATAGTAGTCGGAGCCTTGTCCGGCAGCCTCCTACGCTCGTACAATTTCCCTTCAACAACTAGCTATTACGTCTACTCTACTCGCCGGTTACGAAGAGCCGGAGAAGCTGGTGCACGCCGGTCAGTCACGATGGAGATGATTAGTGTAAAGACGGCGAAGACCTTCTGAGTTTGACAGGAGAGATAAGAAGCTCGACCGAAGTACAATGTATAGCTGATCGGTAACAATAGCTTTCAATTAATTATCTTTTTTTGGATCTTTCATTGTAAGGAACAAAAGTTTTATTGATACCGTATATTCTAATATAAGCGTGTTACTGCTTCTGATTTTAGTTAGCAGGGATGTTTCAGAATAACATATAACAGTCAACAAGATAAATAAGGTTTTAATCATTATTATTAATAGATACACGGAAAATTGATACGAATAATAATTTCATTGTGTTTTTTTCTTCAATATTATACACGAAATTTCAGTAGTATAGCGCTACTTTAAGTCAAACCCTCATTTCTCTTCGTGCCTTTCTATTTCTCAAGTTTATTATAATAGATTTATTATCATATTTAGCCTTATAAATTGTTTTCGTCATATTTAAAATATTTATGCAATGTACAATATTTAATCATGTTATTTCTGAAAATTCAATGTAAAAGATTTATTTTCATTTCACTTATTCAAATAAGGTCTATCATAGCCTGAGAATATAATTACTTATTATAATTATATATGTTTTTAAGTAATTATTTAATGTTAAATTTTGCACGAGATGAATATTATAAAAACTTTTTATTGCCTTACAAAAGATTAAATAGATTTAAAGTTGCGTTAGGGAACATTTTTAGGATCATTTTAAAATCATTAATTATTCTAACTATTTATTCTACTATTTATTCATACATTCATATGGGCATCATCATCATCATCATTATCATCATCATTATCATTATTATTAATACGATCACATTATAAATCTTTCTATATTAATAGTACAATAATTAGTTAAAAAAACTTATTAATTTTTTTGTATAAATTAAATATTAAACTGATAATATTTAATTTCAGTTTTCTTAACTTTATAAAAATTATTATTTTTGTGTTGAAAATTTATAAAAAAAAATCTAACTTTAATGAATGTGCTAGTCAAAATTTTAATTAATCGGAAAAAAACAAATTATATTACTAAATGTATAATGATTAAATTACGTTTTGTATTACCAATTTAAAAATATCTTAAAAAATTAAAAAATTTTAATTCTACTATATATTTCGCACTCTTTGAACCTATTAACAATATCATAGATGCTAAAAAAATAAAATCTACTAATTCATATCATAAAATATTTCAAATTTCAAATTTAATATAACTGAATTACATAAAAAGTTGCAAATAACAATGAAATATTCGCTTAGGTATTTTTTTTGTTTGCAATTTCATCTATTTTTAAAATTTTAAATGGGTAAAATCGAATTTTATTCCTTTATAATTAAATACTTGTATACGACTTAGAGTAGGTTAGCTGGTATTTTTTATTGTTTGAAATTGATTTGATAGGTATGAGGAGATATTCTCTGCCGATCTTATGCTGCTACCTTTACACCCTATTTGACATGGCATCCTTACATTATCCGTAAGTATTTAATTCACCTGAAAAATATTTATCTTCCTTTTTTGACATTTTAGAAGAATAAATTAATTATAATTATTATCGATAAATGGAAGACTGATTTATTACAGAAAGGTGTTTCATACTAGAATATAATGAGAGTAAAGCCTTATTAACTACAATTTATATATCTAATTAATTAATACTTCATCTATTCTATTTTTATTATTGTAATTATTATATTTCTATTTATTTCATATATTTCTCATAGCTCGAACGAATAATTAGATTTATAAGTATTGTGTAGAATTTTGGTATAAAGTTGCCAATATCTTATTTTAAACACTAAAAATTAATTGATTTAAAGGTATAAAATAATTATTAGTTATTTTATTATTATAAACATTATTATAAACCGTGTCATTGTACTTATTAAGCTACAATAATACTTTTTAATTAACACTTAATAGTATAATGCAAAAACAATGATAGTAATAATGTACCATCTGATTCAATAGTTTCTTTAATTATTATTTACAATTTTTATACTATATATTTAAATTGAATACTATTTTTGAAATTTTACATAAAATTTTTTATATTAAAATTATTTAAAATTTTCATAATTATACTCTCACGAAAAATTGTTATATCAATATTGTCCACGTCGTAATTAATGCTCTATCAACAATTATATATTATATTATTAATTTTATTACTTAAATTTTTATACTACTTATGTTTTTATGTTTTGCTGCATCAGTTGCCATGAGATTTGGGGCTGGGGTTACCAATTATTTATTCATTCATTTAAATTAGAAATTACATGGGATTTTTGCAACATATAATCATGATTAACATCATAATTTCTATCATTTTTTTACGCCGGCCGTTGCTGCCCGCGTACTCAGTGATAAAGTATGCGAGGCCGTCCTCTCAACGGAGGTCGAGGGTTGGCATTTTAAGGTCAATAGCCTAACCTCACGAACAATTCGACTTTCGGCGAGAAAACGCGGGTACCGCTTTTTTCCGAAGATCGCAAGGTAAAGGTGTCGATATTTTTAACAATGTTTATTTGTTTTTGTGTATCGATCACGTGTCCGATGATTTTCTCAATTATGTGGGAACATTAATTATTATACCATTAAGCCTTTTATCATTGAACTTTATTATTATATTCTAATAACCAATCATGTTTAAATTGCAATAGTAAAATCGTCTTTATAAAAATTCAAAAATAAATCAAATTAATTTATTTTTTCCTACTCCTTTATATGAATTTTCCTAAATATTGTACAAAATTTTTATAAAACATTTTTATTTTATAATCAATAATTTTTATTATAACTAATTATTTAATAGTAATTTACCATATTATTTATAGAGAACATATAACGGATACATGTTATAATAATAAAAAATAAGATAAAATGCTTCCATATTACAATAATGAATGTATTAATATATATGATAATTAAATATTGGAAATTAATTATCTGAGCATTTATTGTTTACTAATTACTTTTATAATAACATATGAATTTCATAAAAAAATGCATCTATTTGTTATTATACAAACATATGTTATATACAAATTTATCGATGCACAACCATAAAAAGATTAATACGATTTCACATTTCAATATGAATACAAATTAAACTTTACTTAATCATAAAAAAAAATATTGGTATAATCAAAAAAAATTTATTAGTATAATTAAAAATTAATACTTACAGTGTTACTGTAAAACTTTCCATTTATTAAGTACACGAATTCTCATGCTTTATCGCAAAGGTATGAGATTTTTTATGACATACGCTTTAAATTCATTTTTTAGATATTTGTATATTTTTTAAATTAATTTGATTACTTTTTGCATTGTTCACACTGAATTTTCTAATGTTTCTATAAGAAGAACAACGCGTAAAGAATTATGCATAGCGGCTTTTCCTATTGAGATCAAATTTTTCACAAAAGTACAGATACTTTTAGTTGCAAGTATTTTAAATTTAATCACATATTATAGATTAAGTATCTATTACAAAGTTTCTTGTTCTCTTTATAATAAACATGTTATTTCGTATTTAATGAAAAATATAATCAATGAATATTAAAATTAATTTAGGAAAACATTGTAAGATATTAAAATTATGCAGAAATTAGAAGTAATTATTAAATTAGTATACAAGTACACTTATCTAAAAGTATTTATCTTTATGAAACATGAATACCGAAAAAATATTTAAATTATAACAACTAAAAGAACACTAAAAGGAAGATTTATTTTTAAATTATAAAAATGGATACAAAATTTTGTTAAAACAGAGATACGTTCTCATTGATACTTTTATCTAAATAATAAAATTAAACGTTTTTTAACTAATATTATTTAATTTCCGATTTATAAGATTATATTATTAAATATGATTTACAGTAGGCCTCTACAGTAAGTTTATAATTTAATTTTTTCAAATAATATTTTTATTTTCATTCTTCTAGTATAATATGAAGTTTTCATTTTAAGTCTTTACCAATACTATGAAAATTTGAAAATTAAATTTATACATTAGCACAATAATATTTTGTAAGTAAATTTTTTACCATTAATTCAAAATTATGAATAAAAGACTTGTTAATAGGAATATATAAAAATTATTTCAATTAATATTGTATTAAAATATTATTAAAAGTTGCACTGAACATTACGACTGGTACATTTTTAAATTAATACTTAGTAGTATTAAGGACATAAATTAGTACATTTTAAATTATTTATGGGACTGATGGGTCTGAAATATTTTTAGTTTCATTATTAATATATTTCTAGTCATTTTTTTTTTTTTTTTGAAAACAATTGTAATATACAGGAATTGATAGACATAGTAAAAAATATTGATGAAAAAGTAAATATATTCATAAAATGCGTAAAGGAGTCCGTGAAATGGAAGTGAAAACCCCTCTGCTCTATTATTAATGTACTTAAACGACAAGTACAGGGAAAGGAAAGAACATTGTAGGATGAACTTTAGGGTATGCACAGCACGAAGACTTCTTACGGCTTCTCCCCCCTCAATATTGCCGTTTCATCAGAATCGCTAATATTCATTCTAAATGAGCGATGTCCGAATAATTTAGTCTTAATCGTAGATTCTTAAGTATAGCAGCATATTATTACTACTGCATTTATCTCATCAAATTCGTTCCATTTAATACAATATATATTTGAATTTACATGTCAACGTTACAGACTGAGAAAAAAATAATGCCAATTGTATATTTCTTACTCGAATTTGAAATAGTTAATACTTATGATTTAATTTTGATTGAATTATGTTTTTTTATATATGATTTTTTCGTTTGTATATAAATCAAATGAAGTTTTAATTAATAAAAAGTAATATTGATTTTCGACGTGAGCTTACAATTTATAAATTTAATGTATAACTGATATGAGCAGTAATGAAATATTATTAAAAATATTGATTTCAATTAGTCATAGTTTCTTCAATTGAAATTTAATGAAATCGTTTAATAGATATTGAAATTTTCACTCCTTTACACTATTTATCATTTCAGAATTTATCGTTTTAGAATATTGATTTAAGAAATTATGTATATCCGTTGTATTTCACATTCATGTGTGTTATTTAAAAATATTTTTATTTAAAATTATTATTATTTGATATGAAAATTTTAACTGAAAAGTATTTTATTTTTTATACATGTTCAATACTCAATGACAACTACATGAAATGCTTTAATCTAAATTATATAAGAAATACGAAACTATCAGAATCTAATACTACAATTATATATTTATTAATAGATACAAATATATAATCAACAATTTCTATCCATCAACTAGAATGTCATACATAATATTCTATGTACAATATAATAAAAATATACTTTATTAGGCTTTTTCACACACAACTATATATAATAAATATTAATTAGTTTAAATAATAATTAATTTATTGATAAAAACGTATTTTATTATAATATTGTATACATTTCTTTTAAAAGTATTAAAAATGTGATGGCTGATATAGAAAGAATTTATTTTATTTAAAATCCATATTACACTTTATGCATTCATCGATATACTTAAGTAATGAAGATATAAAATTCTTTAAGAAATAATAGATTATTGCTATATTTATCGACGCTCTATTAATTATTGATTACAATAGAAAATATTTCTAATCTATTTGAAAAAATTAGTGATCGAAACGATTATAAAAGAAAGGAAGAACTATTTAAAATTTATAAAAATATTATTTTAGAAAAATTTGCGTTCTAAAATATTTTAAAACTATCTATAGATAACTGTATTTTTACACTATTCTCCATATTATTATATTACTCATTTATTAGGAAACTGAATAATACAAACACGACGAAAGTATTTATTTTTGAAATTTTTATAATTAATTTTGATTGGCTTACGTCTATAAATTTGATCATTGATATCTACTCAGTACTATAATATGCATATATATATATATATATATATATATATATATACAGGTACTTTTGTCAGATTCATTTCATTCGGAATGTGTTAGTTGGCATTAAATAATCTAAGAATATACTAAATTAAGGTTCGTATAGCAAGGAAGTTATTATAAAAGTTCAGATATTAACTGTACATTATAAATAAGTAAGTTTTTCCCTTTTCTTGAAAATTGTAGTATTACCTAACACCTCAATAAAAAATTATAATGCACATTCAGTTGACTCAATAATTTTATTGTGTCGTAAAGTCTTGTGACGTGCATTACATCAGCTTCGGATTTTCTGGCATTTTAGTAGAAATCGTACTTGTTCATAATGATGTCACATTCCCATCAAAAGGATATAAGACACGATTTTGTCGGTTCAGCGGTTCAGCAATTTAACGTTATTCACAAATGATTCTCTTACATACTTTTTTTGCCGCACATTCAAAAAATAAAGGGATTATCTTTTATAAAATAAAGAAAAATGTGTCAATTTGATTTGTATCGAATATTTGTATTATTAGTAATATGAATAACATTTATTTTTAAAATATTATATACAATTAGATATGCTCTAATTGAATATTCTTATTATTTATTTTAATACACTGGGGTTACTATTGATCATTATAATTTTTGTCTTAATATATATTTTTCAATGAAACATTAATAATTTTCGCTTTTATTTTAGTTATTTTGATTCACAATTCATATTAATTTACAGATATCAATTATAAGCATTATTTGGATATGAAAAATATAGGAATCCATAAAGCTGCTGTATTTAGTTCTACACATTGATTGCACAATAATCGAGATTACTCATTAAAATAATTTTCTAATCTACTAATGATATAATAAGTACAGATATATTTAATATTTAAGGTGCCAATTAATATATTTATAATAGATTATTTCTTATGAATAATAATATTATAAGATTACCTTTTAAAATGAAAATTGAAAATCACATAAATTTTATACTATTCGTTTTTAAAATTAATATAAATTTTCACTGAATTACTGTAAAATATTAAAATTTTATTTATATTAAATACATAAAATATTAGATAGTATTTGGATAGATATTTAAATATTTACTAAGTAATCCTATTTAAAGAAACGATTTATATTAGCTTAAAACGGATTTAACGGTTACAAGCAGGATATGAATGTAAAATATATTAAATAAAACACTATAATTACGTGTCACTTAAAACCGCAATTCATTATTTCTAAATTGATTAGTAATTATTTGTATATTATTACACAGTAAACATATTAAATTAAATAATACAAATACATATTAATCGTTCGTTCAAAGGGCATAAATTTGTAAATATAAGACTGTATCAAAGTTATAAAATTCTCATTCAAAATTATGTATCATTGTAAGCATTTTTTTTTTACTGATTATATAAAAGAATAAGAATATTAACGTTACGTATTACAGAGAAATGGATCGCGAAGACTACGGTAGGAAAGAAGTCTCACTCTCCTTGAGGGATATTCTACCGATCAATCCGAAAAATTACGATAAGCACAGAGCACCTAAATATTTAGGACAGCCGACCATTGTCTATTTTCACGTCACGGTACTCAGTATCGATTCTATCAACGAAGAGTCGATGGTGCGACTATATCCGTACAATAATTATTCTACTGGTGATATTGTTTTAATAATGATATTAGAATTTCTGATTCTTCACACACAATAAAATTCACTTCTGCGTTATAATTCTACTTTAAACATTATTATGAATATAAGAAAAAAGATCGTGTGGATAATCTTTTAATAGAATGTCTCTTATTCATATTAAAAATTCGTTATTATCCAGTCAGAAATGATAAAATAAAAGATTTTTCAATTTGAATTAGACTTACGTAGCGGACATATTCCTTGCGCAAAGCTGGCGAGACTCGCGATTGAGGATGCCAGAAAATATGTCAGAAGAGTATAGGATTTTAGATGTCGATTGGCTGCACAACATTTGGAGACCCGATTGTTTTTTTAAAAACGCAAAAAAAGTCACATTTCACGAGATGTCGATACCCAATCATTACTTATGGCTCTACCACGATAAAACTTTACTTTACATGTCCAAGTGAGTGCTTCATTACTAATTAGTATGCTTATGCTTTGCTTTTCGAGCAAAAAACGAATAAAAACTTATTACTTTGAATACAATATTTTTTAAATGGTTGATAATTCCACAACATGATAGAACATGAACATTTTACAATGTTAAAGCGTAAGAAATTTCAATATTTCAATAATATATTTTTAATTTATCATTAAATTAAATAAGAAATAATATAAATATTTAAAGTAAATTTAATACGCAAGAAAATCATATATTTTCAATATAATAATCCTATTGAGTATGTTGATTAATTTTAAACATTATCTCCATTACCAATGTTTTTCATATTTAATAGGCCTTGTTTTTATTAAAATATCGCAGTGAGTATGATTATTTTTATTAATGAGAGTTATTTATTTAGATTAACGTTAGTGCTGTCGTGTGCTATGAAATTCGAGTCCTATCCTCACGATACGCAAATATGCTCAATGATGATCGAAAGTTGTAAGTAACAATTACAATGTTTGACATAAATAATTAAATTTTTATATAAACTCTGTTATACAACTTTATATAAACTAAAAAATGTTTATTATCATATATAGCGGCAATCAATAGTAAAAATATTTGATCTAGAATCAATATATAATAATCCGTTAGTTTGGTATCGACATTTGAATAACAATCGAAATATTCGGTGTAAAAATATCAAAGGATTAGTAATTTTTATGAGAATTTTTTAAATGAATGGGTTTTACATTAAAATAAATTTAATTTGGTATAGATAGATAAACAATACCGTGATATGAATTTTCGAAAAATTTTCTCCAAATTTTTTAAAGTGCAATGTATATATACTATTCGTAGTCGCATATGTGATATGTCGCTTAGATTTTGCCTTTACGTTCTCATTGAGTTTCTAAAAGTTCTGAGACACGTCCCTGTAGCTCAAACTTATGCTATAAGCTTTGTTTTGAACACTTCCTATTATGCACTTATCATTAGTCAAATATTGTAACGATAAGTTAGAAATGTAAGTCCACACTCTGGAGAAATAACAAAGTGGTGCATTATTCCAGTGTCGCATACGACGCAGGATCTGGTGTTCATTTGGAACGTGACGGACCCGCTGGTGGTGAATCCGGAAATCGAGCTGCCGCAGCTTGACATCGCCAACAACTACACGACCGACTGCACGATTGAATACTCGACCGGCAACTTCACCTGCATACAGATCGTATTCAATTTGCGTCGCAGACTCGGCTATCATTTATTCCATACCTACATACCCTCGGCCCTCATTGTCGTCATGTCTTGGATCGCATTTTGGATTAAGCCAGAGGCAATACCCGCGAGAGTCACACTCGGTGTTACTTCTTTACTTACTTTAGGTAACAATTTTAATTAGAGTATAATTTGTTTTCATCAATGCGAACGGAAACTGACATAGTATTAGAGAGCATGAGCGAAAAACAGTTATTAATCATTGGTAAAGCACAAAATATTATTAAATTTATAATTTATTTAACGAAGGCCATCGATTCTTCCATTATTCTAAAAACTTGCGTATTGCTATAAGAAATGAATTTTATTTAATTATCTGAGTTTCAAAATCATATTATTTAATTAATCTCATTTTATAACATTAAATATAAATAATTATGAAGAATGACAAAGAAGTCGATATTTCGATCACCAGCAATCGCCGAGAACACAATAATTAAATGCGAATTTCACTTTCTCACAGGATTACTATTTTTATATTTAAATCGAGTCGACTCTTCGAGTCGATAGCTTAAGTACTAGTGATATTATTTCTTCTCTGAGAAATGTGACAGGGCCATTTTCTCCTCTTCTATCCCTATCCTTCGGAAGCTCACTTTTTATGTTCAGAACGCGTTCGTAAAAGACGAAGAAAAACCTTGGAAATCAATCCTGAAGAGAGACCCTCAATACGTAAGCGTAATGGAGCGGGGAGGGGGTGGAACTGAATATTCCTGATGGAGATAATTAATTAAATTTATTGGAAATATATTAAATTAATAACCACAATAATAATCATAATAAACATATATTAATACAAAGTATGAATTATTACATTTAAATAGTTGATATTATCGCAAAAAATTTTTTACATTAAAAAATACATATGTCTAATTTCAAATATATTATACGATTTTTAAGCGGCATAATTCATTTAAGTAAATTAATCTTTTTTTCGAGAAAGTACTAGGATAAAAATATTTTTTTAATTTTAGCATACGAACCTTTTATAGAGTGAACGTTTTTATTTATTAAATTTCGTGAAATGAATAAGTACATTAATGTTGTAAATAAAAATCAGAATTAACTGTTTGAAATATGGGCTACTTGGATAATTATGATTATTTTAATATTTTAAATATTATTTTAGTAAACTACTATCATGCTATAATATCTAAAATAAACTATGCTTCTAATTTCAATATTTAGTAAATATAAGTATCAATTGGTTGAAATAAAATTTTTAAAAAATTATACAAACCCTTAAATATATATGTATATTTAATATTTCGGGCTAAATTGTAAGAATTTCGACAGCAATATTTTATAATCTATACTTATCGCTACTTAACAACTCAATTATTAAAATGGAATAATTATTAAGAAATAGGTTAATGTACATAATTACCCGATTATAACATTAGTCAAATCAATGAACATTTTTATTTTTTCAAAAATTACTCACTTTTAACACTACTCGCCTAACGAATATTTCAATTTCCATCTCAAGCATAAAGATAACCGAATAAAGCTAAAAGTATAAGAAAAAAAAGCACGTTGAGGTTTATAAATCTAACATCAATACAAACATCGCGTGAGCGAATTACCGGACACTGAACATGTTAAAGGCAGCCATAGAGTAATTTATCGCGGCGGAGGAATCGCGGGAAAGAAGGCCGGTGTCGCATCCAAATTCAATTCGAGCGTGATATAGTTTACACAATATTTCTACAGACGTTATCAAAGATATTTTTCTTTTCAACTGCAAAGATAACACTCGTGTTCTTTCATGGATACTTTTAATGCTACAAAATGTTGTATTTCACTCAAAGTGTAAAGAAAATAATTATAAAATTCAACAATTTTTTCCTTTTATGATAAAGCTGTATATAACGATGTATGAAAAATTAATTTAATAGAATAATAATATATACAATTATAGATCTCTTTTTCAATTAATATCTCTTTTATTATAAAATAATAAGTAAATAAAAATAAATTGTACGTAAATAAAGATATATATATATATATATATGTACAAAATGTGTCCGATGATCCGGCTTCTTTTACCAAGTTCGTTTGGAAGGATCAAAATTTGTATATACCATAAAAAAATTTTGGTAGTATTGACGATAATTTCCATCTCTTGTGAATCGCTTCAGTAGGCTTTGTAAACATTGATGTGCAGTATTGTGGGAGTTGCCGAGGAGTTCGATTGACTTCTTGAGCGGAAGCCGACGGTGTATATCCCTCCTGAGTCTCAAGAGTGATTTGTCTTATAATGGTCCTCACACCATTGTTCATTAAGGGTGTATTGGTGATCGGAGCTCCTCGGAACTTCTTATTGCACCCAAAATCTTGTCAGTAGTTCTTGTAATGCATGCTCTACTTTTTCTATTGAAGTGTGGAATGCTACTGCGCTCATACTGTTTGTTTCATTGACAGGTCCAAGTACTTGCCATCCAAAAATATATAATTGTGCTATTGGCATGGATGGAGCCGATTTGATTATGTTGGGCTTGATGATTTGTCCATATGCATCTGCTCTAAGAACAATATTTACAAATCTTGATGTAAGATATTTTGGATCTGCAAATTTCAGATTTCTAAGATGCGGCCATACTTGTCGTGGTGTTTTATATGGTGGAGCATTTTTCTCAATGATTTGAGTATGTGAGCTAGAACTGTGACTGAGAGTTAGAATGATTTGATGTAGGTGTGAGTGATACAACACCTTTAGCCTGGGTGGAAATGGATCCTCCAATTTCATGAATGGTGATGACAGAACGTTGATGTAGTATTTTGAGCTGCTTCACAAGATCTTCTGTTGTGAACCCAACTTCCGTTGTCAATTAAAAGACGAGCTTGTACTGTGGTCGATGGTGAGCTTAATTTAGCCATGGCAATGGCCAACAGGGTTGTCATTAATAATGGTTTCGATGGAATGACGATTGCATCTTCTCGTCATTTAGGGGGCGAGCTTGAGCTGTGTTTTGTTTGGGTTACCTTTGAATTGATTCTTCATGTAATAAGGTATTATGCAGCCGTTTACACTTTCAGAAATTCCGTTTGCTCTTGCGCTGTTGCTTTGGATTATATTGTAGGTAGTTGAACGCAGGCATCAATTAAATACAAGGACCTTTTTTCCATTGGTCTCGTGTGTGCTTGCTGAATCTTTGCAATGTGTGGTGAACCACTATACAATCCCATGGGTCAGTGTCGAGTTGTAATTGTCATAGTTTCTTTAATAAGTCACTACATTCACTGGCTACCTCTTCCATTTCTTGTGCATCACCTTTCAATGATGACAAGTCAGACAGAAGTTTACAAAGCTGAGATTATATTATTCGGCGAGTGTTCTCATATCTCTCTGATAAAGCTTACCATGACAGTGCAAGCAAATCATATTGTAATCGGAAGCGTGCTCCAGACTTGGCTGCGCCACCATCCAGTAATTTTCGTAAATAATAGAGTTTTTGCCCCTCGCTGTATTTTTTATTGTTTATCACTATTGAGACAAATAAATCCCGGAACATGGGTCATTCTAGATATTCGCCTGAAAATTTCGGAATAATGATATCTGGAAGACAGCTCTTTCCATTTCAATTTCGATCCCGGCCAACGTGTCGTCAGACTTTGTTACTGGTTCTTTTGCTTTGTTCAAGTTGGAGAGCAACTTACTTATTTTAGAGTACGCACTTGATAAATCTCAACTCTACTCCTTGAACATTATTTGTAAGATATTCGTGGGTATCCAGTGCTGCTGGCCATGTTAATTATTCTAGGTAGCTGTGCTCCTTGATGAAGGCCTTGTGTATGTCGTCTATTAATTCCCTTGTGATCGTGATTTCTTCGATGCATGTATCCAAATGCGATGCAGGGGGCTTCTGTGTTACCCTTTTCATTGCTATTATACGAATACACTGACCTTTCGCTTTCACGTTGCTCTCTACTCGAGCTCTTTCCTTTGCACTGCTACGAGTTACACGGTTTTCCTTACCATGCGTGATGTATACGTCAGCACTGGTTTCCTTTGTTTTCTTTTTCTCGTATTGTAACATTTTTCTTGTATTATGTAACGTTAAAATTATTAATATTGAAGGTATATACTAACTTCAACTTATCCGGCTGGAAGCACCAGAAATGTACAAAATCTGTTCGATAATTCGGCTTGTTTTACCAAGTCCGGTTCGAAGGATCAAAATTGTTTTTATAGATAACTCAGAGACCAGAAGATATTATGTAGTAGAGATCTGCGGTCAAGTGAAAGGGATAGCGTAATAAATTCAATATTAATATATCTGTTTGTTATACTGTTTATTCCGTTAATTTCCAGATACAGGAATGATTCTTGTTACTGTTATCAATTGATGAACTCTTAGTTCTGGGCAGATCACACTTGGTTTTAGCATGCGCTTTAACCAAAATTAGGAGTTGTAATATTTGTTGCTCTTGGCATAGTACACTGGTGCTATTCCCAGGGAAGTGAGAGGTTGTAAGGCTCTTACCACTTCTTTGAGTACAACCGCGTAATGTTTCTGCGATGAGCGCTGAATGGCGCGAAGATTGGCCTTGTGAGCGTAGGACCCAAGCTAGGAGAGAGGTTATATCGGCAAGGTGGGCGCTCAATGGCGCGTTGTCTTGCAGACGAGTCTTCGTGCGCGTGAGTACTTATGAGCTTCTCCTTGAGTACAGACAGTAGAATTACTTAAGATAATTTTGCGTGTACCTCTGAGATGGCCTCAATCCTTTAAGAATGCTCGGTGACCTGGCTCCTGGAGAGCTTTAAATTTGAGATGACACCTAAAGTAGATGATACTACAAATGAAGACTAATCTTACACTCAGTTGAGGGACTTTGCCACTTCCTTCTTCAATGAGGACTTCAACTGGTACTTGTCTTCGGATTCCGTTGAGGGAGTTGCCACTTCCTTTTTCTATGAGGACTTCATCGAGAATGTTTGAACCTTATGATTGTCTCTCTTAAATACATTTCACTAATCATGGTGACCACTTGGGATCCCTTCTCTTTTTTTTTGTCCAATCACAGAGATTGCGACTTATAGAGCGAGGGCAGCGCCTCTCGCGACATTGTCATCAATCACGAAGCTTAATCTTCTCTTGATCGTTACGCCAAGAAGAGCTCTCGATTTCATTGCCCTTGACGTGCTTCTGGCGGTTGCATGACGGACTTGACAACAAGGGGGGAGCACTATATATCGGTAGATTATAGATTTTTTTGGTATAGCGATTCTTTCCAGCTGCCTAAAGAGTTGGATTTTTCCGAGTCTAACGACTTGTTTTGCCATATATTTAAAGACACTATTGCCAGACGTTTATGGGCAGGACTTCTCAAAAGTCTAACGACTATTTAATTATGTTGTTTTGCCAGATGTTTTACGGCATTGAAAAAGGTTATCACAATCTCGAATAATATATTATTCAATATTCGACGAATGGAAAATAAAATATCTAGAGAAAACAATTTAATTTATATGTTAAACGTAGCTACAATACTTAATAATAAAACTAAATATTTTATGATGCTTAATAAAAAATTCTTAATGTAGTATTTATTTTTTATTCCTTTTATAATACAATAAAAATTGTATATAACATTAAAAATAAATTCAACTGCGAAAGAAAATACAATGGGGCGGTTTTTATATTATATTTGTTCGGAAAATAATCCCACAATTTGACTCGTCAGCCAAACGTGCAATAATTAACTTAGAACAAAAAACCCACTAGATGTTGTGTGGGGTTGCCGGGCAAGTAAAGGGTGAATGCACTGATTAATAATTAACACATGTCTTTATTATTTCTGTTTATTTGAATTAATTTACAAAAGGGTGAATTACAGACGAACTTTATATTTCTTGATAATCTTGTGGTGTTGAAATATATTTACTATGAATGAAGCAGGTTATAATCTATTGAATATTATCACTAAGAGGTTATGGTGATTGTAGTGCTATGATCGAACACTGGAATGCTATTGTGTTTGTCTTAACACGTGTGTAGTTGCCTCTAAATATAGGTCGTAAGAGAGCCGAGATGGAGGTTATGCGAAGCTGTGCGCCATCTGTGGCGGGAACAACTTGTAGTGGATTGAGAAGCCAATGTGGCGTTTATAGCTGGTCTTGTTCAAGAGTATGTCCGGGAAGCTTCCGTAGTTGGACTTTAATCCGTCCGTCTTCTACATAAGCCGAGAAATCAAGAATGAGTACTAGCTGTAAGGACTTACTTGCAGTGTATCGTGATTTTCCAGTCTCTCTTCGATGGCTTGTTATTACGTTCCCTTGCAATGTTGCAACCCTTCAGTTCTTCCTTGTCTCCAAGTGAGACCACAAGTGGTCAGGTCCCACGCAATCCAGTCTTGATGAGATCAATTCAATCGTACACTAATTCACAATTGTGGAAAGAACTTCTTATTAAAACTCAGCTAAACGACTCATCTCTCCGGTCCTCCTCCGTGAGAGAAGGTCGTGACTTATCCTTCACTGTAAGAAGTATTTGGAAAGAGTAAGTGAAGGTACATTACGTAGTCCCTTCTTAAAATGATTCACTGATCCCGCTCCACTTGGGATCCCTGCTTCCTTTATTAATTAACCAATCAGTGGTTGATCTTGGGTCGCACAATAGATTATGCACGCCTTCATTTCCACTTCCTTCCGGGCTCAGTTCCGAATTTGCTAATCGGGAAAGTGTCGGAAGGTGGCGAGCCTTTTTCATTGGTCACCTCTCTTTGGTTGCCTCATCCCTCTCTGGGACTTGGCTAGAAGAAGGGTCCGCTTGGGCGTGGTCAATTTTCCAATGCTATCGACCAGATGTGGTATAGCGAAGAACAATGCAAGCATTGTCTTAAAGGCCGAGTGCACACGTATGGTCATTGCATGTTGTTGCACGTACGGGTTTTGGGTTGCAGTAAATATTTGTAATCAATGCTTCACGCATATCTGATATTCGTTCTGAATCTACTTTGGGGTTCTCGCGGCAGTAAACCCATTAGGTTCTACTGCACTGGGAGTATGAGCACGTTCCGCTAGAGTTTTCCAGATGTTTTATGACACTAGTACAAATAATTATGAGCAGGAAAGTTTTGAATTCTTAAATGCAATTTTCATGACATTACTTGTCAGATATTTTATTGCCTTACTCAACGGAGTCTCTTATTCTCAAACAATATTTATTATATTATATTGATTGTATGGCCAAAGTTTATTAACCACCGAAATATGAAAGTAATCTTAATAAGAACAATTTACTTATCCGAACAAACAAGAAAAGTATTTTAAGAAATATTAATATTATTTTCCGTTATTTCAGCAACACAAAATACACAGTCACAGCAATCACTCCCGCCCGTCTCCTATGTCAAAGCTATTGATGTCTGGATGTCGTCCTGCAGCGTCTTTGTCTTCCTTTCTCTTATGGAATTCGCTGTTGTTAACAATTACATGGGGCCAGTAGCTACAAAAGCAATGAAAGGATATTCTGACGAGGATCTTCGAGAGGCTATTGACGAATTCAAAGTGCGTATACTTAGTTGTATGTAGTACAGAATGCTCGCAAGTTTAAAAAATAATGCTACTTCTGATTTCATATACAAACTAAATTTATTCAGTAGATAAATTTTATACAAATAATATAATTATTTTGTTAAAAAAATATTTATTTCATCAGATAAATTTATTTGATTAGATTTGTAAACTGACATTAATAGGAATATATGTCGTTATAAAACGTATTTGTGAAAAATATAAATGTACTTTATAATTGTTCCATTATTTTTCATTTTGATTTTTAAAATCTATAAGATTATTTATATGAAATTAGAGTTAAATGTAGAGATACAATGAATTCTTATATAGTAAAATTCTTAAAAAGGATGAATCTTTTCTTTTTTTAAAAAGGATAATAAATTAAATGATTTCAATAATAAAATAATAATATTATTTGGCATTATATGAATACGTTTCATTTGCACAAATATTTTCATTTATAAATCTGTAAATCATAGGAATTCTTGATTGCAACATTATCGATGCATAATTTTTTAGTATAATTTAAGAAATAATTAATTACCAGTAGATTAATACATACTTATTAATAATATATTTACACATTTTTATTATCTGAATCACTTTTGACTTCTTATATTATAAAAATATTGATTTTATATATCCAATCACTCATACAAAGCATAATTATAGATTAAATGATATCAATAGGAAATAAATGATGAATAGAAATAGAAATAGAAATAGATCGATAGAATTTTCAAAAATGTGTATTTATATTATTATACATTTACTAAAAAATTTGTTGAAAGCCTTTTAAAATTTACTATTTTGAAAATTTGTAAAGGCAAATTTTCTGTAAAAGATTTAGACAGTACAACTTATTAAAACATTATCATAAACAACTAATGAATGTAATCCCAATTAAAATGAAATAATATTATTTTATTAGAAGATATATATATATATATAAATCAAATTATTATGAAAATTAATAGAAATAGTGTAGATTTATTATAAATTGCAAAAAAATATCGCTATCTCATAAACAAAAATTGTATATAAATTTTTAATGATGAAAGTATATAATTTGTGAGAAAATATATAAATACATTTTATAATCTGCTTACTATGTAAGTAAAGCTTAAGTATGTATTACGGCAATACCTGATGTCGTAAATAAAATGTCTCGTGTACGAGAAGAGTAACAAAAGTTTCTAAAATCTATTTGTATTTTCAATTAACGTGCACTCATAATTCTATATAAAACTGATTATATTATTAGTTATTACCGCTGTAGTTACCATAGTCACGCTGTAAATTTTGCTTTATACACGCTTTTCCAGTTCTTGGTAAAATGTGAACATAATTAGAATGAAGATACAATTGAACACCAAATATTTGTTAGAATTATCCATTGCCAAATTAGTTAGAAATGCACTTGAAACTGAATTGCCAAAACGAATGATGCCACCCGCAACCCTTTGCTAAGCACGACGCGGTTAAGGAAAGTGAATTCGCGGGAGCCATTGTCACTAATAAAAAAAAAGACCGTACTTGGTCTATCACTTGATAAACTGCTTTTGAACGCATAACAGTCGGATAAGAACAAAAACATTCTTTGTTGGGGACAGACGCCAATGAGGTCGGACTCGGAGAGGAGCAGGAGTCCAGTTCGGCCACCCACTGTTCAGTACGACACGTGTTGCGAGGGTCGGGCCACCGCCATATACATCGATAAGATATCGCGCTTCCTCTTCCCTTTTGCCTTCTTCATTCTCAACGTCGTCTATTGGAGCACCTTCCTCTGAGCGTCATTCCAGCGGACAGCAGCTCGACCGATACCACTCGTCAAATCCAACGGAGATGGGATTCGACACATTTGTACATATATCTAGCTACATGTATTGCAAAACAGACGTCTATCTCTCCTCCCCCTTCAATGAACTGTATTTAGAATGAATTTCCGATTGAGAGAAATGTGGGTTATTGCTCTAGTTAAGCTGAAAAATTCACCATCGGGTTTTATTTACCGGTCAAATTTGCATCTGCTATTCGTTCTCTTTTTCCAATCATGGATATACAAACGTTTTTAATTTGATTTTTCTTTTTAATATTCCATATAAGGCCATCTTATTCAGTGGATTATACAAATGGAGAAAAATACATAAAGAGTAAAGCAATAATATTTTTCTCATTACTATTATTATTAGTATTTGTATTAGTATTATTATTACCACTATTAATATTAATACTATTATTATTATTATTATTAATACTATTATTATTATTATTATTATTATTATTATTATTATTATTATTATTATTATTATTATTATTATTATTATTATTATTGTTGTTATTGTTATTATTATATTCTTAAAATATAAAATAAATATAAACTCAATTTCTTTATTAAGTAGTTCTTTCTAATAAGAATAGAATTAATTTATTAATATATTTTTATTGATTAATAGCTAGCTTAATAAGATATATATATATATTATTGGAAATAACGTTGTCATATGTATTGAATTATTATTTAATTAATTATTTACATATTTTTTATTACTTAAAAAAATTAATAATTGTTATCGTAATATAATTCTGTACTTATATTTCTGTATTAATATTTTCAGTACATATCATTTCAATCACTAACTCATACGTTTAATAATTCCAATAACTAAATAATATTTTTTTCAATTACTAGCAAATAATTGAACCATTGAAATATACAAATTGCAACTTTGATGTAAATAAATACAATAATTTAGATAATATACGGCGAATTATTGACTTACATATATATTCAAGTGTCAAAAAAAAAGAAAAGACAAAAATCTTAAACTTTAACTATTTTGGAATATATTATTTTAATAATTATTAATCATTTTAGAATTTAAGTATACTCTATAAATATTTATAACTCACAAATGAATTATTTTTATTCGATTTGGACGAACGAATATAAACGAACAAAAACGAGAAACACTACAATTTCCTACGGGTTTTCAATTATCTTACTAGAGAGACATAAATACTTGATGCATATAAAACTATTTCACAGAATATATTTAAAAAAGATTAACTAAAATACTTAATCACCGATTCTAAGATTTTTTAATAATCTGCATACTTTAGAAGTTGTTTTCTTAGTTACTCTTTTTTAATATTTTTTATATTATTATTTCATATTTTAAGATTATATTATCCTATTTAATAATATATTTTTTATTTTAGAATTAAATTCCGATTAAGTATTCAACTTCCATTAAAACATTATCAAATTGAAAGAAAATAAATTAACATGAAAAAAATGAAATAAAAGGTTTTCTTATTTAAAAAAAAATCTGTTCAGATAAAAAATGAATTTTATATATTATTTCGGAACCTTAAATAAAGTGTTAAGATTAATAATTATATAATATTGTTATATAAATAAATTGTTGGAATTAAATAAGATTGTATAAAATTATTTTAGATACAATCTTTAAGCAGTAACGAAAATCCAAAGCATATAAAATTTAATTTAATTAAATTTACTTGTACATTCAATATTCAATATGAAATTATAAATTGACTACACAGTATTTATATATGTATTAAAGTCAAGTTTATACTTTTATTGTTAAATTTTTATTGTTTATTGTTCAAACTACAATTACAAAAACTCAGCCTAATATATTATGAACATAAGTTTATATTGATAAAAATATTAAAAAGAATAAAATATTTTATTTATTTTATAAATAAATTTTAATTTGCTATTTTTAAATGGAAATATATAAAAATATGGAATAAAGATTAATCTATCCTATTGTATATTAGATGCCATATATTATATATGTATTATATAAAATTCATTCATTTATAAAATCGATTATGTATTTATTACATAAAACAATTATTAATTAATTAAAATTCTATTAATCGAATATAATAATGTTATACTTTAGAAGCAAACTTCAATTGTAAGTATAAAGTCTAAAAAATTTTCAAGTATTTGGATCGGCAATTCAAAATCTTTTAAGAATTCCAGTAAATCTTATCAAGAATGTGACCACAAAGTATTTTGAAAAACATCAATTTTATTTTAAAAAAACCTAAATAAAGATTTCGTCTCAATTTGAATTTATATGATAATGCATAGCTGGAAAATAAATGTATGGAGTGTATAGATTAGCTTAATTAGTTATTAATTTAATTTGTTAATTTAATAGTTATTAATGAAACACAAAATTTTTAATCAGTTGGTTAATAAAATATTTTTACTTAATTTATCATTTTTATTGCAAATATTTTTTTAAGATATTTAATATTATAGAATATAATTATTATATAATATAATATATAATATAATTATATAATATAATAATAATAATTGTGTGAATATAATAAACTTTAAAATATAATAGAATTCAGATCAAAGGCGAATTATGTTTATAGCAATGAATGATTATAATTTCAGAAAACGTTTAAATTTATAATGAAAATTATTGGAATAAAATATATACATATCTTAACGAAGAAAAGCAGAACATTTTCGTTTTATCAACAGTGATGCATACATCTTACCTCATTCTGCTTTATCATCTGCACTCTTTGTAGAAGCCATGGAAACTATGTAGAGACAGGAAATGTTATAAAGGAATTGAAAAAGAACCATAAGGAAACACGAATAAAGACTTTTTTATTTTGTCATTTCATTTATATATTCATCTCATCGGTTGATATATGTATTAATAATAAATATACTTTTTTCTGTTTTTTATTATTTAAGTTTCTTGACAATCCCAATTTTCTGTTTTACAATCGTACGCTATGCCTTTTTAACGTGACTCGCTGAGTTTCTATCAATGATCGATCCACGATCGATTTAAATTAAACTCATTTACTTGTATTTTATCATTTTACTCAATGTGTTTAACATTTGAAACATATTAAATATGAATGAATTTGAGGTGTAAATAATTTCACTATACTTCTTGCCACACCGTCACACTTCAAAAGTTTTCGAGCTTAATTTTTATCGCCAGAGTTTAACAAAGTCTAAATTTAACGAAATCAATCCAATCACAATATGTGCTGCATTTTATTTATTTATATTTATAAATATGTAAACGTAATTCAAGATTTTGAGGAACCAATATTATAACCTTATCATTTATTATCTCTCATTCCCTGAAAAAACGAAAGCTGTTATACCAATTCATAAGTGGCACATTTTTTTCTTTGCTTAATAATCATTATTGTTAACATTTCCAACTACCTGTTTCATCAACTACTATGCATTATATATATATATATATATATATATATATATATATATATATATATATATATATATTTATGTATTTCTCCTTTCTCCACTTGCGCTTTCCGTTTCTTTTGTTAAACCGAATACTGAGAACTTTTCAAGTTCTATGAAAATATATAACCATCGCTGCACAGTTATCGCTCACTCCCATAACACATACGTATAGCAATTCTATTTCACAAAAATTGTTTAACATCGATTGTTTTCAAATGTGATTACGTTGTGCCCTCGAGAATTTAGAGCTCGAAACCAAAAGGATATACAATGCCAGGGTTTGAACTTTTGTCTACTTTGGAAATCTTTTTATCAATATTACAAAGCGACAAAGATTCATACCAGAACCGACGAAGAAGAAAAATCTTACTACTAAAGAGATTTAGCAGTTTTTAATAACCAACACAACTTTCTTTTATTTAATCCTCATTTTATAAATAAAATTAATATTATTTATTTTATAATTAATTTGCATTGCCAAATATTCTAGAGACAAAATTTTCCGGACAATCGTCCGTTAAAATCGCAAATATATCGATTTTAATATAGTATCTTGCATATACATAACGATAATTATACCTTGTACATTTACTTAGCTTTTTCTGAGATTCTTCGAAAATATAAATTTTCTCTTGATTTGGTCCAAAGCCACGCACAGACGGTCGACTATGGCGAAAATTCTGTCAAATACGTGATTCCCATAGAATGTACTTCTATTTTCACCGTTTTTAAATACATTCCTCTATTTATCTTTCTCTGTCCCTAACCCACTCTTGCATTAATTATTAATCATTTTATATTGGATCTTATTTATATTGTTGTTTTTTTTTGCTTCATCTAAGACTATTATATATTTAATCCTATCATTTTGCTTTTTGGATAGTTTTCTCTATAGTATTTTGGAATATTTTATAGTTTTCAATAAAATTTGTAGACTATACACGCTTTGTGATCGCACCTCATTACATTTAAACATCAACTTTATCTCTTTAACCGTATCTTTCCACGTTGCTTTCAATAAAATGCATCCTTTATTTACCTTGTGTATTTTAAACAACTAAACAAATTATGAACAACTTAACTTTTTCTCGAAAAATATATGGTGGTCATATTTTACTAAATATAATTTTCGAAACAAAAATATAAATGAATAAATGAACTTTTCTGAAGTATTCTTAACATCCTATTGTTATAAATATTTTACTCAACTAAAGATTATAATAAATAAATTATTATGTGAATTAATTTATATATTTTTCGTATTTAGATATTCGTTTACTATGCTTATTTACAAATTCTAAAACAGTTTAGCTTTACTAAATTGATCGCTAAATTGACATAGACATCGCATCGCTTACGGTTCCCAATTCACAGTGTCGTTTTCATTTTTGAAATTTGTATTTTATATGTATTTTATATTATATATGGAAACATAAATGTATATTTATTTTCATGCTTGTTAAAATAATGTCTAATTACTATTACAAAATATTTTTAACAAATAAATAAATTTTTCCTTACCTATTTGAATTATACATTTTCATTTTTATTAAAACATTAAGGGTCAATTTTTTTCTTTTACCAAAGCTTATTGTTTCCTCTAACATATAAATTCTATTCATTGATCTGTGAGCACGTTCATCCTACACATTAATAAGAATTTCAGAATTGTTATTATTGTTTATGTAAATTATTCTGATATTCTTGTATATAAATTTACTCTTCTTTATCAGTTTTCTTTTTATGCAATCGATTCCTTTATCCAGTATGATAAGCGATGTTAACGTTCTCTTAACATTAATCTATAATTTAATTCTTCTTTTATGAAATTCGAGTCTTCATATTTGCGTAAATATATATTAATTTTATAATAACGAAAATAAATTAACAATATGAAATGAAATTTTCGCTTTCATTAAATGAATATGATAGAATGTTTTTTAAATGTAGGCATAACGCATAAAACGTCATTAAAATAAAATAGTTTCAGTTCTCAAATACTTTTAGGTATTGAATTTCTTCAATCAAATTAATTTTACGTTTTCTTAGATATTTAAAATCCTTATATGCATTCTCTTATTGCAACGTCATATCCATTCAGTGTTACTGAAATTAATTAATTATATAGTTAGATTGCAAACATTTATTTAGAATCGAATTGTATACAAAATAATAAATAATTTGTAAGAATTTTAATAAATACAATTAATAAATAAAAATATTAAAAGTATTTATAATTATTAAAGTAATTGTAATTATTTAATAAAAAAAAAGTAATTATTCAGTGTATCAACTTAATTTACTAATTTAGTAAATTATTAGATATTTTTAAAATAAATTTATTTAATTTATATGTATGCTATTAAATTATATTTATACTCAAGCTAGTGTGACACAAATTTATTTTTCAAACAAAAATAATATCATATTATAAACAAAATGTTACGTTTTTTAAAATAAGATTTATATATTATTTCTTCATTGCACTTCAAAATAATTGATATTTTAAAATATTCAAATTAACAATTAGTTTCTCATTTTTTCTTTTATTTATGTACCTTTTTCATGTTTGATTTGAAATCCGATTCAGTTTTACAGTGCCTCTACCTGTATTTTGAGCTTCCCTACTGATTGGCTTGTATTTGACGTTAATCTTGAATTAGTTAATTCAAACATTTTACATTATACAATTTATATCACCTGATAAGTTTAAATATACAGAATTACAAATCACGACACTCATGGTTTAAATTAGTTTTTTTAATACTTATTTTACATACTCATTTATATTATAGATTGTTTGTTCTGAATATTTAGTCAATAATTTTGAATTTAATGATAATTTATTAAAGTCTCATTTATTCAAAAGTTGACTATAATTTTGACAACTCCAGAATTTCATTGTATTTATCTATCTTATCCACTTCCCATGTATGTCGCATGTTTACAACGTGGAAATGTATTGTAACATTTGTTAACATACCTACTACTTATATTCATATGTTACTTGTTTCAACATCATCGATTTATTGAGCAGAAAATTACATTAAAATAAATACATTTTTGTTCATTCTTATTATTTTATAATTCGACAATGACACAATATACTTTATTATCGGTTTAATTATCCTTTGTTTTTTTATGCATTATTTAAGAGTGTGGAAAAGAAAGCTAATTTAATCTTATTTATTGATGTATTTTACTTTATATATATTTATACGCTAATTTTATCCAATAAGACACGAGACCACCAGTGCCAAATTTCTTTCTGTGTAATAATAATTTTAAATTTCTGAAGCTTAGAAAACGTCTTTGAAAATTATATTATACAAATATATACGAATAATAATCATTTTTTAGAATATTTAATTAATGTCTTATTTTATAATAAAATTATCCAAATTTATCACAAAAGTTGAATTAACGTAGCCTGGAGTTTATTCTATGTGCTCGAACGCAATTAAAATATGTAAAGGATGATATTTTAAAAGACTAAAAAAATTAAAAAAAAATTAATTAATGATTTTAATAAAAATTATTATTATTCGTATATATTTGTATAATATAATTTTCAAAGACGTTTTCTAAGCTTCAGAAATTAAAAATTATTATTATCTACTTACGGTTTTATCTGGAACTATTCAAAATAATTCTCTCTCTTTCTTTATTTTCAGTTATTTACTGTTTCTTCTATTTTTATTATGCCTTTAATTGTACCTGAGATTACACATAAATTATACATAATCAAGATATATGAATTTTCACGGATTTCCCTTTCCACGCTTTTTGTATGTTTTGCGTACATTCTATGTAATACAAACTTTCAATGAATTTCAATATTAATATACCTTTATTTTCGCTTTATTGAAATAGCGATGAGTTTACTGACGATTATTGATTTAATAAGTTTTTAATGATTTTTAATTTTTTTTTCTAAATTCTTAGTAACTGTATATTTGGACATTAAGTTTCAAGTGAATTCTTAAATACTTAATATATAGTAAATATATAATATAATTAATTTATCTATGATTTACCGATTCACTTCAAAATAATGGAAAATAAAAATTTCAAATGATGGTAATTATATGTTACATACTCTTCCTATCAATTTAAATAGCTTACTGAGTTTCATTCTCTCTCATTTTTCAGTATGATAGAAAGCTAAAGAATTCCTCACAAAATTTAATATTACAAATAAATGAATACTTTCTTATATTTATATAAAAATCACACGGTTTTCATTATATTATTCCAATAAAGAAACAATGACATAATAAAATCGATTAATAAAGTCTTCTCTACAATTGGACATATTTGTTTTTCTTACGGCTTAGCCGATCTATTTACAATATTCTTTTAAATTCTATACGCCATTTTTATTTATAATAAATTTACTTTTTAAATCTAAGTTTATAATTATATATTATAATATATATGCACATTATGAAAAATCATACACAGATATATTTTTGTTTGATCATAAGATTACAGAGATTTTAAAACGGGATTATATTCTATTAATATTGACGATGCATTTTATTCCATAACAAAAGATTCAGGTCATTCTTGAACATTGAAAGTAAGATAAATTAATAAAGTGGGTCTAATGTGAAAAATATACAAGTCATGTATAGAATAAAATATTTGAAATAAAAAAATTTTTGACACTTATTAGAAATGTCAAGATTAAAATCACTATTTAACCAGAAAAATCTATATTCAGCATTGACTGCAATCGATATCATTACTAATTACAATGGTTTGGAGTAATGCTTAACTCTAATACTATGGAATGAAAAAAAAATAAAATAAAAAAAATGACACACGCAATAACGTCTGTTACCTTTTTACACCACATAATGTGCACATACACAAACGACCCTTTCTCGATGTGACATACTTAAATAATACAACTTTGCGCTTGCGCGAAGTTTGAAAGAACGAGGGCATCTTCTTACTTAATTAATTTACAGAGCTACATTCTCTTTTCCTTTTCAGTCATTCCTTTCACCCACTTTGTCTATCTATTCCACTCTCTCTCTTCCTCTCTCTCTCTCTCTCTCTCTGTCTGTCTCTCTCTCTCTGTCTGTCTCTCTCTCTCTCTCTCTCT